TTTTTTTTTTTTTTTTTTTTTTTAAATGGGAAAAGGTTAAAGCCCCTATCAAGAAAATGCTCCTTCTCTTCCTGTCAGAGATGCAGCAGGAAGTTAACAAAGCTCCCCAAGTGAGGAGCATTCCCTCATTCTCACTCTGTGCAAGAGGTGTCCTTATGGGAAGATTTCCCCTGGGGGCACAGTTTTGTTTTTCCTCACCAATACCAAAGGGGACCCAGACAAAGCTTCACCAAGGGTCTAACTACTCCTTGCAAGGGTGCCATTCAAATGACTGGCAAGACACTTGCTTCACTGTAGTGCATGGTAGGTGCATTCAGCTGTACCATGCGTTAACTGTGCCGGCTTGGTGTGACTAGCCCATTAATGTTCAGGAATGTGAGGATAGTGGTAAGAGTAGAGGTGATTCCTCACTGGGTGACAAGTCCCAGCCAGGTCACTGCTTGTGTGGGTACCTCCAGGTACTCTGGTTTCCTCCCACACAAGTCATACTGGAAAGTTAATTGGCTCCTGTCTAAATCATCCCTATAGGAATCTTAGATTGTAAGCTCCTTGAGGTCAGGGACTGATGTGAATGTGCACTGCGTAAATTGTCAGCGCTATATAAATGCCTGTAGTTTCAGTGCTGCAGGTCTGCTCCAGTCTTTCAGCCACTTCCTGTCTACATGCACTTGCTCCAGCCGTAGCTGGAAATCAGTGCTGTGCTTCCTAGGGGTGACAGGTGGGCCATGCTTGCAGCAATGTTTGTTAGCACAACATCTAGTCTTCCAGAGGAGCATGTGATATAGTGACAACCGCAGGAGAACAAGATGGGGACAGTTGTCACCCCATTACAGGAAGTGTAACCTTTATGTTGTCGTTTGTTTTTTTGAACTTGGCAAAATTACAATAACATGTCAAAATTTAGCATCGATAAAGGTCAATTTAACCAATGGGTATCTTAGGTTTTATTTGGCCGTGTTTTACATGGTAATATGTCTGTTAGAACAGGCCCTCAGTTTACTTGTCCAGCCTTGAGTATGTTCAGGCAACAGTTTTGGTTTTAATAAAGTGGGAAAGGGTTAGATTTCTGCCAGATTTTTACTGCTATCCACAACAGCAATAGATTCACCAGACAGGTAGTGAAGAGAAATCTCCAGCACAGAACTAAAGCTGCTTCTCTTCCTTCTGTAAAGTAGGGAAGGCTGGTAGTAGGGACATGTTCTGTGATGTGAAAAACATTTCATAGTTTATCTGAGGCACGTCTTCAGTTTCGTTCTAATGTCAGCTAGTACTAGCTGTACCATACCTGGATGAGAGCCTTCAGACAGAAGGGAAGATTAGAACCCCTGTCAGGTTTTTATTAGGTATGACTGGCTGGGTTTCTCTGTAGGTTCATGTTTACTGGTGTGCTCAGACAGTAACATGTAGTGGTTCATGTCCAGTCTTCTCTGGAATCCTCTTATGGGATACCATCCTTAGCATGTTCCCTTTGGAGGCCTTACAGGTCTGGTTTAAACACTGGGATAAAAGTGAGGAATCTTGTAGCATCAGCTTGAACTTGTTCATCTTACAATGAAGCTGGACATGTCATTTGGTGTTGTGGGCACCCGTATACATTACAATTATGTTGGTTTGTTAGAAGAGAAAGAAAACATTGAAGTGTTATAAAGTTCATTGATTAAGAGTACGCTGTTGGCCCTTTTTGTAGCAGCTTTTAGGATCCATTGAATTGCTTTGTTATTGGAAGATAATTTTCATGTGAAGATGGTTTCATTAAAAAAAACTACCGTTCAGCTGTAATGTCTAATGTAACATTTGAAATGTTTCCACAGAGATGGGCAAGTTCATGAAACCAGGGAAAGTTGTCCTTGTTCTGGCTGGACGCTATGCAGGCCGCAAAGCCGTCATTGTAAAGGTATGAAGGTTTTATCTGTTAAGATATAACTTTATTATTGTAGCTACTAAAGCTAGGTGATGGAAACGGTCTTGTTTATCATAGTTACCCTGTACCCCCGCGTCTTATGTTTGCACCAAATTCTCTGGCTTGTGGCTGAGAGGAGTGGGCTAGCATCACATTGGACACCAGCATCTCTTCAGCACTCTGTCATCAGGAGCTCATATTTTCCCTATTCACTGAGATACTCGGCTGCCTCAAGTAGTTATCACAAAACACTCCTTCCTTTTACTAGAACATTTCTAATACCAGTTCTGAGGTAGATGGTTCTGTCCATCTCACCAGTCCAGCCAGCACCTTTTGTGTGGCACATGCTCATATGGTGCATGACTGATTTACTCTGCTTGCCTGATGTCATTGAGGATGGAGGCATGCAAGTGTTTGAAGCTGGGTTGTCTGCCTGGGAAGATGGAACATAATCATTGGAGTTTTATGGAATCGGAATACACAGCAGATCTATAGGGTAACTGTTGGTCTTCAACTTGCTAATCTTCTCACAGATGTTGTGACCCTTCAATACAAGAAGCAGTATTTTGAACAAATGTTATATTTGTCTTGCACAGAACATCGATGATGGCACCTCTGACCGCCAATACAGCCACGCCCTGGTCGCTGGCATTGACCGGTATCCTCGTAAGGTGACCGCCACTATGGGCAAGAAGAGGATTGCCAAGCGTTCCAAGATCAAGGCCTTTGTGAAGGTGTACAACTACAATCACCTCATGCCAACCAGGTGTGTAGAGATGTTGTGTCACTGGAAAGCCAGGGTGAGCGGTATCTAGCCTCTGCTGTACTATAGAAGTACCTGTAACCCGAACACAGGATTCTACTATTGAGTAATGCTGAGACTTTTCCTGGTTTGTTTATTTGGGTGTTCCCATGGGTAAAATTAGCTTTATTTCTTTCTAGATACTCAGTTGATATTCCTCTGGACAAAGCTGTGGTGAACAAGGATGTTTTCAGAGACCCAGCTCTGAAAAGGAAAGCCAGAAGGGAGGCCAAAGTCAAATTTGAGGAAAGGTGAGTAATTCAGCAAAGTATTTTAAATTCTCTTGGCTAAAGTGTTTGGTTTTTTGCTATACCGGTGAATTATTCCTAGCATTCAATGGTGGCTGCAATTATACAACGATGGTTTAAAGGAGAACTATGGGGTCAGGGCTTTTCCCCATAGTTCTCCTTAGGGTAACGAGAGGACACAAACTAGCGTCCTCCCGTCACCCTAAGCTCAGTATACAGGGAGCTACAGCGGTATACTGAGACGCCGGAGCGGATCCCGACATGTTGAGATCCGCCCAGCTGCGTGAGTGACAGCTGGCTCTGCCTATCTAGAGGCAGAGCCAGCTGTACCCGCCCTCTCCACGTTCGTTCCGCCAGTCAGCGCTGGTGGATCGAAGGGGGGAATCCATGGTGTTCGCTCAGCTCCCGATCTACTGAGCTGACCTGTGACAGTCTCATTGTCACAGGTCGGCTAGAACTTTGAGGTGAGTGAAAAGCACTCACCTCATAGTTCTCCTTTAATACCTGAATGTTTTGTCTTCGGAAGTTAAAGTACAAGTCTACTTTCAGTATTATAAGCTGCATATTATATAGACTTTTTGTTATTTCTATGTTTTTTTGTTGCTTCTCCATTGGTTGCAGTTGATTTGTTATACCACATCTTTCCAGCCTTATATACACAAACTTACGGGCGTGGATCTTTTTCCGTGGGGCTGCCTATACTGAATAGACAAATTAAAAAAATGCTTTTCCTTTATAGTGAAAGGTTCCCTGTCTGGTAATACTGTTGTCAGCAGGGCAGGAAGTGAGGGTAAACCTCTCTAATGGAGCCCCAAATAACAGTTAAAAAAAATAAATAAACCTTCCTGCTTTGTGGACTTGTAGTTACTTTGTGCTGTAGATCATGTGACCAGGGGGCTTAAAGTGACATTAAACCCTCAGATTTTTTTAACATAAAACAATCCTGTAATGTGTGCCTTACTGTAATCCATGGTTGTTTCCCTTCTCTTTGCTGCTCTTCCTTTTAAAATCCTCATTTCTTCTCATGCTTGGGGAGAACTTCCCTTTGCAGCTGAGTGCCTCTTCCTGTAGTGCTGGCTCAGGTTGTGAACCTTCACACAGACACCGTGTATCCATTTCAGAGACAAGGCAGTCTGCTGCAAAACAGCATATATTGGGTTGAATGTTGGGTACTTCTGTAATTTCAGGGTGTCATGGACCTGCTCCCTGTGGGGGGCTTCACTACAGTGCCCTGCACTCATTGTAATGATGTAGAGCAGCACTGACTTCATTACACCAGACTCCATTAGCCCCTGAGCTAAGGTTTAAATGTGAAATTTGGGGTAGATTTAAGGTGCCCATACACCTTACGATAATCGTATGCGATTGACTTTTCGTACGACAATCGTAACGTGTGAATAGAGTGCCCGACCGATAGTACTGTACAATCGTACGACTTGACGGTCAAGCATGTTTGAAAACTTTGGTTGATCGTACGATGTTCGCATGGTTGGTGGCGTTTCCGTCCGTCAAATGTCGTACGATTAACACTGCGCATGCGCAAACGAAAATAATTGCGGTCAATTACCGCAAGTCGTCCAGGTGTTTTTTTCTAACCGCTGATTGAACCTTGCGATAATCGGGGCAGGATGGGGCCGTCGTTCGAAAATCGTACGACGGTTCGATCATCGGACGAAAAGTTTAGTCCGATAATCGTAAGGTGTATGGGTACCTTTATAATAAAAGGAGTAGACTGTTCACTTGGTGAATAAGGTGAAGCTGTGTTCAGTCTTCCAAATGGGTGCTTGTAGACTTCCAGTTTTTTCATACACAAGTTTAGTGCATGATGTGGAGCACAGGTAACTTTGAATATCTAAGTGATCATCCATCTTGTGAACAGCCTGTACTATAATACACACACGAGGCTGATTTACTAACCATATCGGTAGATCTGTCTGTGTAAATGTATGTTTAGATGTCTCACAAGGGTAGCAATGTCTCATGATGTCATTGAATATGAATCCAGTGATACTCACCATCGGTGGCCAACTACATTGCTTTACTTGACTAGTCCTGACATCCAAATTTGGCAGGAACGTGTGTTTGTGTGTGTGTGTGTGTGTTTGTGTGTGTGTGGTGTGTGTCCCCACCACCATTTGACAACAGAAGGGGGAAATTATGTTTTTATCTGTTTTTGTTGCACACTGCAATTTGTATCATGGGGTGCAGTAAATGTTGGGTGTCATTCAGAATTAATGGAAAAGCATGTATTTTTGGAGTGCACTGTGTGCGCCTTTACATTTTGGAGAGCCAGCTTCAGATTTTTTTATCAATGTCATTAACACCCTTATGAAAATGTGTTAATATGCCACCCCACACGCGTGTCCTGTGGTAGCCTACAATTCCATGGCTACATTTGGGATGGAGCAACATGGAGAAAGAAACATGCATTACTCCTACCCTAGAATTGGAACTGCCAGAATCTGGCTGGGAAAACGGCAAATTGAGGACTGCTTAGGCCAGGGGGTGGCCAGTTCAGCTGTTGTGAAACAAGTCCCATGAGGCATTGTAAAGGTGGCCATACACTGAGGGCCGGGCTTAAAATGACTGCAAACGGGCTGTGTGCGCACACCGGCCCGTTCGGCAGTTGTTGAACCAGCAGGCCACTAACTCACCTAGAATCGTACGATTCCCGCCGGGTTTTCTAGCCTGCTGGTTCCACGGAAGACGTGCGACCGTACAGTACAGTTGCACGCCTTCCATACAATGCATGATTCTCGTACGATCGCAGGATTTCCCGTGATTCTCGTACGAGAATCGTGCAGTGTATGGGCACCTTAAGACTGACAGTTACAGGCATGGCTGGCAGAGGCATGTTGGGATTTGTAGTTAAAGCACATCTGGAGGGCTGGAGTTGCCCACCCCTGGCTAGGCAGAACACACAGGAGACCTCAGGGGTCATAAAGACGCACTAATCTTTCCAGTAAATGAACCGGTGATCCAAAGATTACAATCTAATTTTCACTGAAACTTAGATTTTGTATTTTAGATACTGTTGCATGCATGCAGTGACAAATATGATGCACACACTTTTAAGATGGCTGCTCCAATTGGTTCTGCCTGCCGGTTTTTTTAGGCAGACCCGATTGGATGCCGAATTAAAGTCTATGGGCAGCTGTGTACATGGACGAGCGTTTGTTTACACACGGTTACCCCCGGGTCAGGCTGGATCCGAAGAAACGGATGGAACAGTGTTCCATTTCGACAGACCAGATTGTGCCAAATGGGGGTATTCAGATTCCCCGTAACCACACATGGGGGCCTGACAGGTTTTTTTCCTCCATGGCAAGATAGAGGAAAAATCTGTACAGACACGGATATCACAACAGTGACATTCAATCTGTACCACTCTAATCAGTGTGAAAGGGGTCTTATAGTTCAGAGCAGATTGGGAGATTTCATGCGCTGTAATTTGAGTGCATTTTACTGAATATTGATTTGATGTCATTTTTTTTATGTTGCAATTTTAGTGCAACTTATTTTAGTCTCTAGGTTCTTTCTGAAATCCTTGAGTTTCTTGTTTTAAATGTGTAACAAACATTTGTCATAAAGTGAGAAATTAAAAATTGGCTCCAGCACCAAAAAGCCTAAACAGTGCAGAGGACAGTCCTCCTAGATCTGGTGTTGTACTTGGTGGGAGCGTTGAGGAAATTGTGGTTTCATTCTATTAGAGAACATGTGTTTTAACAAAAACTAACAATACTGTGTTGTCTTCTACAGGTACAAGACTGGCAAAAACAAGTGGTTCTTCCAGAAGCTGCGGTTCTAAAGCATTGTTCATATAGTGTACCAATAAAACGTTCTGAAAAAGTAAACCTGCTTGTCATTTGCTCTTTACTAAAGCTGTGCTCATCTTTTTAAACATGGAAAACTATTTCCTGTGAAAAGTAGTGGCTTCCCATTTGGATTTACACTCTAAATGTGCTTCAGCATCCTGTCTGCCCCTCTTAGTGTACACCTCTCTGGTCTTCTACTCATTGTTGCACTCCTCCCAACCCACCTTTATTCTCTGCAGTGCCTTATTCTCTCATCTTGTGCGATCACTAGAGTACACAGATAGGAGTACGAGGTCATGAAATTAAAGTTGCGGGCTACCTCCACTTGTGGCAAAACAACAAATGGTGGATGCATGGTTTTGGCCAATGTGGACACGGAAGACAGCGCAGATGCATGTGCCCAAATATGGATTGAGGATAAACACAGTAGACAGATGTGCATGCGCACATGAGTGTTGGCAGATGTACACATTTTAACACCTGAATTGCTACACACCCGTGGATTTAGGACAGGCACAGACGGTCATGGAATCAGGGCAGACTCGGATGTACACCCACTAAGTGAGGGCTGAATCCCATTGAGGCAGGGAACACTAAAGTACAGACATACCCCTGCATACAGAATCAAGTAAACAAACATGCACATCAATAGGGGTCAGACTTTGTTGCAGAACACACCTGTGCATACCCATAGTTTGTGCAAGCATGCATGTCTGGCAAGAATTATGCATGACATGTACCTATAAAACTTGGGCAGGCACACTGCACACCTGATTTGTGTAATTATGAGCCTGGCCACACCCCCTCAGCACCTTTCCATGACTACTTCATGAAATGAGCATAGTGTAATGCTTCTGGTCTCGTTTGCTTTGGATCTTGGCTACAGACAATGGTTGCTTCAGTGTCAGATTATTATGACCACCTGACGTTTGTAGGCAAATTAGCTATAATTTCACGCTGAAGTCGCTTGAGGGCCAGACCATTATAAATAGGGAAGCAGGTTGTTTACGACAGTGGAAGTGATTTTATTCTGAAGATATGGGGAAACAACGCAATTTAACAGCCTTTGAACGTGGGATGATTGTTGGCGCTCGGAGCCATGGAGCGAGTATCAGCAAAACAGCAGAATTCGTTAAATGTTCAAGAGCAGCTGTTAAAGTGTTTAAAGACTGGACTGTCAGCCGAAAATCTGGGTCTGAACGTGTGAATTGTGGCCGTCAGCGACTAGTCAATGTTAGGGCAGAACAGAGAGTTACAAGACAACAGAAGGGCAACAGTGCAGTGTCAGATTCCTCGCATCACCTTTCAACATCTCGTGGAGTCACAAGGCAGCCCAACGAAGTACTGATGGGGTGTTCATAATAATCTGGCCACTCAGTGTATGTGGGTGCAATCAGTCCAGCTATAAGATAAAGGCACTTCAGTGACAACAGCAAAAAGGATACATATGTAAGATGTAGAAGTTACCTCACTTCCACCAGGAACAAAAACAGAAGTCTAATAAAGGTTTGAAAAGATTAGGACATTCACTTGTGGTTCTGTAGTAGAAGTTGCTGTGGTTGCTATTGGCAATAGCTTGGCGTATAGGTAGATACAGCAGTATAGGTGCTAGTATAGACCATATGGCAGTAGATACAACAGTATGGTTATATTGGAGGTTATTCAACAGAAACAGCAGTATGTTACTATCGGATACAGCTTGGTAAATAGGTAGAGGTAGCAAGATGTTGCTTTAGCAAACAGCGTGGCTGACAGCCAGAAGTGGCAGCACGATGTCATAGGTATTCTGGAATCCAAAATCTGCTCTATCTCAAACTTCTCTTGCCCCTCCACAGTTACAGGTGGCTGGGGTAGTGGAGCCCGATTAGGGAAAGTGTTAAGGTGGCCATACACTTTACAACCATCGCAAGACCTTAGTCTTGCGATGGTTGTAAAGTGATTAAAAAAACAGGCAGATCGTACTCTTGGACAGGCAGATCGTACTCTCTGAGGGGCGGGCTTCCGATTACCGCAATGCTAAACGGGCAGCGTGCGCACACCGGCCCGTTCGGCTTTTGTCTCCCGAGCACCGTTCAAACCAGCTGAGAATCGTACGATTTTCGGCTGGTTTTCTAGCGTGCTCCTTAGACAAAAGGCGTGTGACCGTACAGTAGAAACGGTTGCACGTCTTCGTTCACACTGCTCGATTCTCGTACGAGAATCGAGCAGTGTATGGGCACCTTCACCTTTAGGTTCGGAGGGTTTCAGTAAGGACACCTGAAAAGTTGGATTAATCCGTAGTTCAGGAGGCATGGTAAGACGAACTGAAGGATTAATAACTGTTTGGGGAATGGACCGATGTACAGGCTGCTAAACTTCTTAGATGGAGTTTATTGCTGTAGGTTTTTCGTGGAAAGCCAGATCAAGTCCCCCACTTGTTAGGGTGGAGGTGCTCTTCGTAAGCCGTAATATTTTTTTTTATTCTGGCTTGGGCTAGCACAATATTCTTTTTTAAAGGAGAACTATGGGGTTAGTGTTTTCCCCCATAGTTCTCCTTAGGGTAACGGGAGGACACAAACTAGCGTCCTCCCGTTACCCTAAGCTCCGTATACTGTGAGCTGCAGCTCGCCGTATACTGAGACGCTGGAGCGGATCCCGACATCGACGTCGAGATCCACCCAGCTGCGTGAGTGACAGCTGGCTCTGCCTATCTAGAGGCAGAGCCAGCTGTACCCGACCCCCCCCCCCGTCCGGTA